ACACCGTCTCCCTCCCGGAACGTCTGACATGCATTGAGAACTTCCGGAACGCCTCCTGTTCTGTGGAACTGTAAATAAATTCCCCAGTAGGGGTGGCAAGGTTGTTTTTTAAAAATAAATAAATAAACAAATACACCCTCAAATCTCGATTTTTGCCACCGCTTTTCAATGCACAAGAGTTGGACCTACGGAACCGAAATGGGGTCTTTAAAAACCAGACTGCCTTAAAATCACCCCCATTTTTATAGAGGGGGGGCAAAAGCCCGAGAATTTCATTCGCTCCATCAGTGCGTTATCCACCTTCTCCAAAATGTAATTCTAGTTTTCTCCCCCTTCCTTTTACCTCTCTCTTTCCTTCTCTCCTTTATTTCTCTCCCTCCCTCTCTCTCTCTCTTTGCACCCTGCTCAGTTTCACACACACGCACGCACGCACACACGGGATTGTGGGCCAACGTGTCTTTAATTGGGTATTAAAAAGAAGCATCTTCTCGGAAGTAGCTCAGTCGCGCTTCTAGCGTGTGGAACAGAGGCAGCCTCGTTAGTTTGCTCCTCGCTCTGCTGGCTGATTTTCTGAAAACTTATTTTTCTGTTAAATATTTCTTTCTTTTTTAGCTTGGCTGCGGCCTGAAATATTCCCTCTTACCACCCCACCTCCGCCGTTAAAAAAAACCCGGGGGGGGACCCCTCTCCGAAATTAATTCGGGGTGATTTATTTCGGGTTTTTTTTTTTTTTGCGTGAAACTTGAAGAGAGACGCCGAGGAACAGTTCACGCAAGAGAGAAACGGAGCTACCTGTTGGGGCTAATTTTATTTTATTTTCAAGGGGTGGCGTAGTTTATTTTATTCTTCCCTCCTTGTTCTGGCCGCGCGTGGAAGGAGAGAACATTCCTGCAATTCTTGCGTTATTCTTATTTTTATTATTCTCCTGACTTTTCTCCGACTTGCAACTTTTTTAAAAAAAAGCAACTTTTCCCGGCAAGAAAAAAAAATGTTCTTTTTAGGATATTTGCTGTTTATTGGCGGAATGACTCGTGTTCTTTCGAGTTATCCCATCTGGTGGTAAGTTGGTTGTCTAATTCTTTAATATTTCGGGGAGGGGGGGAAGAGACCCCCTTTTCTGACGAGCCTAGCTTGGCCAGAAAAGGTGCGCTTTGCCGTTTCTTATTTCTAACCCGGCTGTCGGGAACTGGGTGTCACTGGGCACCTAGGGAATTGCGGTTCCTAAGACGCTTTTAAGACCCAGGCAATTTTGCACCTTAGCTTTCCCCATCTCGGTGTTTGTTTTGACTGGATGAGGTCAGTTTTTTTTAAAAAAAGACATGAAATGGGGGGGGGGATCTGAAAAGCTGGGGAAGGGGATGAGCCGCAGGAGAGATCGGTTGATTTTTTTGTTTTTTAAGAAATCCAGTTTTGATGCTCTCCTGAGCGAATTAAATCCAGATACAAGCCGCTTTTAAAAAAAATAATAATAACCATGATTTTAACTTAATTATAGTAAAAAAAACAAAGCCAAATGATTTAATTTTTTTTAGAAGCAAACCACAGGAGTAGAGTAATGCGGCTTTGGGAAGGAAAAGTAAAAATGCCAGAAGCGTAAAAATAGAAAATATTTTCTCCTTAAGAACACGTTTATTTTTATTTTTCTGCGTCGTTTCCCCCCCTCCAATGTTTAGGAGATTAGCTTTGTAAAGGGGGGGTCTTCTCTCATCTTCACGCCCCCCACCCGGAAAAAAATACGAAAACCCCCTTGGGGAAAAAAAATCGCAGGATTTTCTTGCTGTAATGTGGTTCCTGTCGATCTTTTTTCTTTTTTGGCTAAATGGTTGAGAATCGGTAGGCGCCCGGGCTTGTTTTTCTGCCTTCTGGCTTATAACTGCAAATAGATGTGGGGGGGGGCAGGGGGGCAGGAAGCCAAATTTCCCGCAGCTTCGGGTACAGCTTTACGCGACTCGCTGGGAAACGCGGCTTCGTCTTGTCTTTTTTTACCAGACGCGATTCCGGCTTTCTAAGCTTCGTTCTTGCGAACCGGAGGTGTTTCTTTTGCCCTCGCTCTTGGGGCTTGGAGGGCAAGAGTGGGGGGGGGGGCGGAAAGGTGAAAGGGTCGTCTCTGCCCCTCTCACCCGTCTTGACCTCAAACCCCTTTTTACAGTTTTGAGGTCGAGCTCCGAGCGCTTTTTCGATCCGGTTCGGTCCGACCTGTCGGGCAGCTTCCTAACCTCGGAAAGCACCCCGAGACTTACCCCCCCACCCCGGGGAGGCGTCGGGGCCTTTTGCCGGCCTGGGAAGCCCCCCCCAGCCCTCAATCTTAAATTGTCGGAATCGGGGCGCAAATTGCAACGGTCGGAAGCGAATCTTTTGCGATCCAGAACTCGGGGAGGTTCGGCCGATTTGGAGGGGGGGAGTTGCGGACACATTGCACCCTTGGGGGGTGGGGAGACCCCTGTGGTTGGGTCTGAGGTCAGGAGGCAGAGCTCCCCTCCCTCCCTCCCTCCCTCTTTCGCTGCCCGCATCCAGCCTTCGCGCATCTCTTGAACCCCGCTTCCGAAGACTCGCTCGCCCGGTTCTTTCGCCGAAGGTTGCCGCCTCGCTGCCTTTGCAGGCTGAGCCCCGCGAGGGAGGGGCGGGGAGTGCGGAGAAGGGGGGGGGGTTGTGGCAGGCTGTCGGGGCGGGCAAGTTGCAGCAAATCGGTCGGTCGGCGGTAATTATAGACTTCAGAGAGCTCAGATGAGACAAACGAAGCGACCCTCCCCCCCACCCCGAGCTCTCTTGCCAATCTCAAAGACACACACACACACACACACAACACCAGCCGGGCTTTCCTAAGGGTCTGGCTTCCCAAGGTCAGGGGTTGTGAAAATCCGCAAACACGTGTACCCCCACCCCCCAGGTGCTCCTTTAAGAAGCTTACAGACGCAACGAAGCTAGAGAACCAGAGGCAAGTAGCTTGTCTGGGCTGGACCACTTTGGTTTGCGGGGGAGAGGGGGTGGTGAGGGAGGAGGAAGAGGAGGGGGCGGGAGTAAGGAAGAAGAGGAAAAAAAAGGTAAACCCGCGCCTTTTTTTTTGCACGTGGTCAAATCTCCTCTCGAAGTCAAGGAAAATTTCCAAATTTCATCCCCCACCCCACCCCACCCGAGTCCAAATCCGTGAATGGTACAGTCCAGACAGAACTCGTCCACTTGATAAGGTCTCCGTATAAAATTCACCTGCTTTCTTTTATCCTTTTAACGACTAGGCCGGCGTTATATGTCCATTTCCCCCTCCCCCCAAAATTGTTCTCTTTAAAAGATGTAGACTTCAACTCCCAGAATTCCATCCTGAGAGTTAAAATCTGCACCTGTGAAAGTGCTAATTTTTTTTTAATGTATTAAAATGCAATGTATTTAAGGCTGCCTTGCTTTCCCAGCGCTTCTCCCTATTCGGATCTATTCAGATTTCACCTCGATCCATCACTGGTTATTTTAAAGGGCTTTTTAATTATTATTTAAGAAAATATATATGCCGCCCAGTTCGCTCTCAGTGATTCCAAGCGGCTCACAAATGTTTTTTTTTTTTTAAAAAAAAAAAAAAACCTCATGAAAGGTATTCACACGTTATGTTGCAATAAACGCGAGTCGGCTGCCAAATGTGCCCGAAAGGGTGTTCTGGATTCTCTCAGGACGCCCCAGATATGACACACGTGTTTTCAAACACCGTTAAGTATGAGAGATGTAAGAATGATGGGTCAAATGTAGGGGGGGGGAAGACGAGTTGTCTACACGCTGATGAGAATTGTTTTCATGAATGATGCGTGTATGCAATTAAAATATTGCGTTTTTCGAAACAGGGCCACAGAGAAATATATACAGATATATAAAATTATGATTAAAGGAGATTTAAAAGTGTTACATTTCACTTTTGCAGGAACAGAGGTTTTTAAATTCCGTTGTTAAATTTTTATACCTTTAAAAAAGCTTTTTTGCCCTTGAAAGGGTCCTCACCAGGCCTTCTTAAACTGAATCGTTGGAGGCTTAATTCGGTTTAAACGCATCCTGCTGGAACCAACATAAGCAAATCGCGGAGCTTTCAAATCGTCTCGGGAGCGCCAGGCGATTAAAAATCTGGCGTTTTTCGCCCCGCTTTTGTAAATTTGCGCAGATTTTGCACGCAAAAGCGTCGAGAAACGCCGGGTTTAAACGACCCTCTTTTTGGAATTCGGTATCTTTGCAGCTTCTGGGGCAGAAAAAGGGGACCACCAACGGGGATCGGTGTGCAAACACCGGGGTGCAAATATCCAGCGTAAATCGGACTGTTGCTAAGGCTCTTTTGTGCAAGCCGAGTGTGCAGTTAAATTAATTAAACTTCCTTTTGCTCTTTGATCAAAATATCCCCCTCCAAATTTTGCTACGGCGCAGAGATGAACTAACACATCCATGATGCAAAAGTATTATTGGGGGAAATTGCCTGGTTCTGTTTTAAACCCAACGAAGCAGTTTAGTCTAGTGGTTAAGGCACCGGGGCTAGAAAGGGCGGAGACGGTGAGTTCTAGTGTCGCCCTAGGCATGAAAGCTACCTGGGTGACTTTAATCCCCAGGAGGCGGTGAGTTCTAGTCCTGTCTTGGTATCAAAAAGCAACTGGGTGACTTTGGGCCAATCGCTGGGAGACGGTGAGTTCTAGTCCCACCTTAGGCATCAAAGTCGGATCGGTGAGTTGGGGGCAAATATCAGGAGACGGTGAGTTCTAGTCCTGCCTTGGGGGGGGGGGGAAACGTTGAGGACCGAGCGGACTGTAGAACCAAATGTGAAGGCTCTTTGATCCTGATTTACAGGTGGCCCGCCTTCCACCCGTCTCCCTGCTGCGTCCTAAAACGAGGTGGCTCGTTTTATGGGTTATTTTGCCCCTTGCAGCCTTTCCGTCCGTTTAACGAGGGATGGGATCATCCTTTATCTTCGCTTTAGTTTCCCAGTCTCTCCCTCTCTCTCTCCTTCTCTCCCTCCCTCCTTCTCTCTCTCTCCCTCTCTCTCTCCTTCTCTCCCTCCCTCCTTCTCTCTCCCTCCCTCTCTCTCTCCTTCTCTCCCTCCCTCCTTCTCTTTCTCTCTCTCTCCCTCTCTCTCTCCTTCTCTCCCTCCCTCTTCTCTCTCTCTCCTCTCTCTCCTTCTCTCCCTCCCTCCTTCTCTCTCTCTCCCTCTCTCTCTCCTCTCTCCCCTCCTCCTTCTCTCTCTCTCCCCTCCTCTCCTTCTCTCTCTCCCTCTCTCTCTCTCTCTCTCTCCCTCCCTCCTTCTCTCTCTCTCCCTCTCTCTCTCCTTCTCTCCCTCCCTCCTTCTCTCTCTCTCCCTCTCTCTCTCCTTCTCTCCCTCCCTCCTTCTCTCTCTCTCCCTCTCTCTCTCCTTCTCTCTCTCATGCTCTGATTCTCCCTCATTCTGTCTTATTCTACCCCTCACTCTCTTTCTTTGTCTCAATCCCTTTCTCTTATTCTCATCCTCTCTCATCCTCTCTCATTCTCATTTTCTCTCTCATTCTTTCATTCTGTCTCTGCTTCTTTCTCTCCCATTCTCTTATTCTCCTTCTCTTCCTCTTTCTCTCTCATTTCTCTTTCACTCATTCTCTCTTATTCTGTTTTCTCTCTCTTATTCTCATTCATTCTCTCATTCTTACTATCTCTCTCTCATTCTCTCTCTGCTTCTTTCTCATTCTCTTATTCTCCTTCTCTTGCTCTTTCTCTCATTTCTCTTTCTCTCTCTCTCATTTTTCCTTTTCTCTCTCATTCTCTCTCATTCTGTTTCTCTCTCTTTTTCTCATTCCGTCTCTTATTCTCCATTTCTCTCCCTCTTTCTCATTCTCTCTCTCTCATTCTGTCTCTTCTCTCTTTCTGTCCCTCATTCTCTCTCTCATTTGTCTGTCTCTCATTCTGTATCTTATTATTGTCTCTCTCTCTCTCTCTCTCTCTCTCTCTCTGTCTCTTATTTTCTCTTTCTCCCTCATTCTCTCTCTCATTCTGTCTCTTATTTAATTCTCTCTCTGTCTCTTGTCGTCCCTCTCATTCTCTTTCTCTCTCTCATCCTCCCAATATGAAAATCAAGCTTTGGACCCCGCAGGAAGGTGCTGGGTGGGCCCCTAGGAGTGTCCTGGTGGAGGGAAAGGATGGCCCCAGATGCTAGAGGTTGAATCTAACTGGCTGTAAATATTCTGAAAACTCACTCCATGACTGGAAAGGCCACATCTCCCATTATCCCCAGCCAGTGGGGAGAGATGATGGGAAAGCCACAGGAAAGCTTTAATTTAAATTTGGAAGCTGTAATTCATGATGAACGTATTGGAGGGGGAACGTCTGTTTTGCCCATCAAAGTGCAAAAATAATTTAGATTTTGCAGTTATTTCCCTTATTGTGTCCTCCCCCCCCCCCGTCTGTTTTCTTTTCATTTCCTTTTTGTGTTGATACAGAGGCATTCTCAATGCAGATATTAGTAGTTCTTGACTTACAACAGTTCATTTAATGGCAGTTCAAACTTACAACACTGGAAAAAAGAGACCTAGGGCCATTTTTCACACTTAGGACCGTGGCAGCATCCTCGTGGTCACGTGATCACAATTCAGACATTTGGCAACTGACTCGTATTTAGGACGGTCGCCCTGTCCCAGGGTCACGTGATCCCCTTTTGTGACCTTCTGACAAGCAAAGTCAATGGGGGGGAAGCCGGATTCACTTAACGACCGTGTGACTAAGCTAACCACTGCAATAATTCATTTAACAACTGTGGCAGGAAAGTAAAGTGGGGTAAAACTCACTTAACAACTGTCTCACTTAGCAACAGAAATTTTGGTCTCAAATGTGGGTGTAAGTCAAGGACTGCCTGTATTTCTTTCTCATGGGGGCTATTTCATCTTCTGTACATCCTCTTGGGGGGGTGTCAAAGATTTGGGGGTCATGTGTTACAAAGGGAAGCTCTTTTGCAATGTTGGGGTAGATCCACGAACTTTCCCCTCCCAGATCTGATCCCAGATCCCATGAGAAAGTTTTTGAATTGACGTGATCTTCCCAGATCCGTTGTTCTACTTAAATTGTAAAGGAGAAGAACTAGCAGCAGTACTAAGAGAGAAAGAATAGAATAATAGTGTTCAAAGGGAACTTGGAGGTCATTTAGTCCAACCCTTTCCTTGAATGGGAGATCTTATAACATCCTGGACAAATGGCTGTCCAATCCCTTCTTAAAAACCTCCAGTGTTGGAGCACCGACAATTTCTGGAGGCAGGTTGTTCCACTGGTTAATTGGTCTAATTGTCAGGAAATTTCTCCTTAGTTCTAGGTTGATTCTCTGCTTGATTAGTGTCCATTTGTTGCTGCTTTTCCAGTTGACCCAGTGTGGAATTCAGAATAACAGAGTTGAGAGGGAATGTAGAGATCTTCTGTCTAATTCTAGTCCAACCCCCCTGATCAAGTCGAAGACTTTGACTCAGCCTTCCATCCTTCTCAGATGGCAAAATGAGGACCAGATGGTTGGGGGCAATATGCTGATTTTGTAACCCATTTAGAGAGGGCTATAAAGCACGATGAAGTGGTATATAAGTCTAAGAGTGCTGTTGCTATTTCTGACAAATGGCTGCCCAGTCTCTCCTTAAAAGCCACCCTTTTTAAGATTTACATGTGCAAGTAGATAGTAAGGACAGAAGAATAGTTCTCTAAACAAAAGAAGCCCTTTTAAGACCGGAACATTCAGATAATATTCAGAAGCAACTTAGGCAGACACCTTCCTGATTCATTCATTCATTCATTCAATCAAACAAACAAACAAATAAACAAACAAACTAGAGCCAGAAAGGACCTTGGAGGTCATCTAGTCTGACCCCCTGCGCAAGCAGGAGACCCTTTACCATTTCAAACAAATAATTGTCCAGTCTCTTCTTAAAAGCCTCCAATGATGGAGCACCCAAATTTCTTGAGGCAAGCTGTTCCACTGATTCATTGTCCTCACGGTCAGGAAATTTCTCCGTAGTTCTGGGTTGCTTCTCTCCTTGAAGAGTGTCCACCCATTGCTTCTTCTCCAATTGACCCTATTAGGAATTGACCTCCATCAGACTGCAGATCTGATTCACTTTCTTTGGAGACGCAAAGCAACCCACCAGATCCTTAGAGAAACATTTTAGAGGCTTTGAAAGGATCAGCCAAGAGAGATTAGGTTTGGCTTCCCTGGAGTGGCGTGGCTGGTGGAGAGGGGGTCTAGAGGGATGCAGAAAGGAAGTGAGTCTTTAAGGAGGCTTTGAAGGCCTCTGGATGTTCTCCCCCAAGCATTGAGAGGAGGATGTGAAGGTGAGGTCATCCGGGTAAGCTGTAATATATGTGGCTGTGCCCTACCTGGGTAGCTCCTTGTGATTTGTGGCCTTTGACAACAGGTTAATGGTATTTCTGTATTTATTTCTGTAGTTGCTACCTGGATTTATAGCCATATAAATGGGAGGGAGGGAGGGAGGGAGAAAGGAAGGAAGGAAGGAAGGAAGGAAGGAAGGAAGGAAAGAAAGAAAAAGAGGGAGGAAGGAAAGCAAAAGAGAGAAAAGAGAAAAAGGGAGCAAAAATAAGGAAGGAAAAGTGAAAGAAAAGGGAGGAAGGAAGAGAAGATAAAATGAGAACAAAGAAGGAAGGAAGGGAAGGAAGGAGGAAGAAAGGAAAAAACAGAAGGAGGAGAAAGGGAAGGAAAAGGAAGGAAGGAGGAAGGGAAGGAAGAAAGAAGGGAGGAAGCAGAAAGGGAAAAGAAGGGAAGGAGGAAAAAAGAGAATGAGAAAGAAAGGGGAAAGAAATGAGAGAGGGCGGAAGAAATGAAGGAAGGAGAAAAAGAAAGGAAAAAGGGAACATGGAAGAGAGGAAGGAAAGAAGAGAAGGAAGGAAGGATTTTGATCATGACCGTGGGGAAGCTGCAATGGTCACAAGTGCGAAGACCACTCTAAGTGGTCCTTTTTTCAGCGTCGGTTGCTAAATGGATGATTGTAAGTCAAGGACTACTTATAGCCCCTAATTAAGCAACCCAACTGGACAGTAGGCAGGATGTAAAGTCTCAAGGCCCCTGTGAGAGTGAACATCTCACAATTGTCAAGGAAAGCTTGTCAAGGTGAATTCGGACAGGTGAGGTGAGGATGAACGTAGAGTGACTTTTTCTTGACTCTGTAGAGGGAGGGGTATTTGCATCTCCTGCCGGAGAGGAATGAAAATGAGTTAATAGCTGTCTTATGTTGATGTTGGCAAGGAGACGTGATGGACCACCTTCGTTGCTATTATACAGGCTTAGTTCTAATAAAATCATATTAAGTTGCAGCCAAGAGGGCTCCCTGGCAGAAAACCAGCTTCCCATCCTTGCTGGTATCTTCTGTCAGTTCCCCTCAGATTCCAGAGCTAGGAATGAGCAGGAGGTGCTATCTCACTTGAACAGTCCACCACCGTCAAGGTAAGCTTCGTAGGTCCTTTGTGGAGGCCCACCACAACCATGTCTAGGTAGATATCTATGGAGATTCTCCATCCCCAGGGTCATGGTTGTCCAAAAGTTGCTTTTTCAGGAGGCAACTGAACTTCCTTGTTTTTTCTTTGAGGGCGTTCTGCTTCTCATCCCAGAACTTCTTCAGCTCAGTCCCAGGACAATGTCTATGGAGATTCTCAGTCATCCAGGTTGAAGCTTCTTCAGAGCTGGATGAGAAGTGAAAAGTCTTCCAAGAAAAACAAGAAAGTCCAGTTGCCTCTTGAAAGAGAATTTTTGGGACAACCATGACCTGGATGACTGAGAATCTCCATAGACATTGTCCTGGGACAGAGCTGGCATGAGAAGCAAAACATCTTCAAGGAAAAAACAAGAAAGTCCAGTTGCCCCCGAAAAAGCACCTTTGGGACATGTGAAAGTAGGCATGGAGATGTTAAGTTTGAAGAAATTGGACAACCCTTTGTCGCGTCTTCTGAAGGAGGTAGAATGTGCATGGTGAGCAGGCAACTCTAGTGTTGACTTTTTTGACCAAATTGTGGTGGTCTGTGTGGAAACAAATATTGGGGTGACTCCATGGGTCTCTCTAGACTCCATAACATGTTTATACCTTGAAGTATTCCACGATCATCTTTCATGCACGGCCATCAAGGACACACACAACCTCATATTTGAGGAGCTGTGGTTTTTCGTCAGATAATAAAACACTTTTTCCACTTAGGCATTCTGTGGATGCATCTTAGTGTACAGGTAGTTTCAACTTACAACCATTCATTTAAAGTTACAACGGCACTGAAAAAAAGTGATGTATGACCATTTTTCACTCTTAACAATCATTGCAATATCCCCTGTGGTCACGTGATCTAAATTCGGACCCTTGGCAACTAGTTGCAGTGTCCTGGGGTCACGTGATCCCCTTTGGTGACCTTCTGACGAGCAAACTCAATGGAGAAGCCAGATTCACTTACAACCGTGTTACTAATTTTACAACTGCAGTGATTCACTTAACAACTGTGGCAAGAAAAGTAGTAAAATGGGGCAAAACTCACCCAACAAATGTCTCGCTTAGCAACAGAAATTTCGGGCTCAGTTATGGTCGTATCCTGAGGATTACTCATATACTGCAAAGTTGAGATTTGGTGGGAGAAAGATAGATATATCATTGACCTCAGAGATTTAGACGATTAGTGTGAGGGTCCAATTGAGTGAATTGCAACGCTCTTTTTTAGATTTACATATGCAAGTAGATAGTAAGGACAGAAGAATAGTTCTCCAAACAAAAGAAGCATTTTTAAGTCCAGAAGATCCGATAACATTCAGAAGCAACTTAGGCAGACACCTTCCTAATTCAATCAATCAATCAGACTACAGCTGGAAGGTACCTTGGAGGTCTTCTAGTCCAGCCCCCTGCTCAAGCAGGAGACTCTCCCATTTCAGACAAGTGGCTGTCCAGTCTCTTCTTAAAAACCTCCTGTGATGGAGCACCCACAACTTCTGGAGGCAAATTGTTCTGTTGATTAATTGTCC